AACAAAAGCACATTGTGGCTTCTAGGAGCATTAGAGCAAAGTACCTAAGTTTTGATAGAAAAATTGTGTTGACTTTATAACAGAATATTTTACAATACAACCTAAAACAATTACCTTAAGGTGCACTATGTAACTTTTCTGGTGGACAGTCAGGCACCTGCTTGTCTCTTTTGAGTCAAATGGACATCTTCACTATACTGAGATGTTAAAACTTTGCCTAGAATATTACTTTTCTTTCCTAGAACTGTACTTATCTATGTCCATTGTGATAAGCAGGTAACAACACCAGGCCAAGAGGTCAAATCTGTGGAGAGGTGAGGCCACTCACATTATGAAAAGTTACATAGTGTATCTTTATCTGAAATCTGAGTATTTGTATTCACCAAACTCAGGAATGGTTTCAGTTTGACAAAAGAAATCAACAAAACATAATAACATACATAGCATATTCAATTTGATCAAGACAATCAAAAAGTTGCAGGTGAATCACTCCAGTATGGAAAATGCTACAATCTACTGCAGGTAAAATCTTATGTTGAGGCAGGAGTTCCCAAAATACATGGTCCTGAGCTCTGAGCACCAGAGACACAAGACCTATAGGCAACATCAACTTTATCTGACAAACTAACAATCTATCTTCTCACAGCCCAGAACAAGCTTACAAACTGCTCTTAATTGGACAGAATGCATTTTATTGAAGTGCCAAGCTAAAGTTCACATGGCAAGATCAATTATGTGTTGCTAAATTGTGCCTATACACTAAAATAATTGTCTCCTAAGGCACTGCAAAGCTGACAGGACACCAATCTTCTATTCTCCATGCAACGCATTTCAAAAGACCTCGATTTGTTTTCTCCACCATAACTCAAAAAGGAAATCTAGTCTGCCTCCAACCCACTTTAGTTTGAGACAAGTACTTTATCTTCCTGTCGACAGGCACAGCAGACTAAACATACTTTAATAATGGCAGTTTTTTGCCAGTGTAACTTCACTGGAGGCAGAGGCAACATCTTACATATGCAGTTTAACTAGTTCTCATTCAGTTTACTTGAGTGAACGTATAATGTGTTTTATATCAATTAATCCTAAATGTGGAACAGACAGACTGTAAACCAACCTGGTGTAATTATGTGCCAGACCCATACCCAGATAAAAATAAGTTGAATGACGTTAATGGATCTCAACCTAGTCTGGGCAATATTTAATTAGACACAACTGTGGTCTTATGGTGTAAAACATGTGATATTTATTGAACCATTTCACTGTAAGATTGGGATTCAGTCAAATTATTAAAGTGGGCATCAAGAGTAACAGGCACCGAACGCAGTGAATTAAAAGGAAAATACTGCCCCCTTATGGACATTTAATTCAAAGGTGTCCGAGACGAGGTGTGCAAATGTTTTTTACTGAGAGCAATATACTGAAACAAAGTTTTGCCTATGAGCATTTAGGCCAATTTAGCAGGGAGCATGAGGGTCAACAAAAATGGGTTCCCTAGTCCATAGACTGACACCTTTATTCATTCTCCTCATTTCAATTTAAAACTTACAAAACTGTACCAATAAGTGATAAAAATCTGTTGAACGTTCCAACTCTGATTGGATTATGTTTATTGGTATCACAAGCACATCCAGTAGCCTACTAATTTCATTACTGTCATCACATAAGGCTAGTGTCTTAATCTGTGGCTATCTCAACACACTGTGAAGTGACATGAGAACATACCATCAGTAAATTTCAGTGACAACTGTTTTCAAGCCCAAATATGAATATACTGAAGCCACACTGAAAAAAAAAAAGGTTGCTGGATTTGCATAAAAAAGTTATGAAAAGCGGTTGCATGCAATAAAAGTATGTTTAGGCTTTGAAACTTATTTCGATCGCCTCTACACACATTTTTCTCAGAACATGAACATCACTTTTTCATGTTGATGAAATTTGATCAAATCATGTTGAATATGCATATTTATCTTATGTTACCTTATCATGAAATGTATAAGTAAATATAATTTAATTTAATTGATCTAATTCTGTAAAATAATACAACAACAGTCTTTAGTTTTCCACAGTTCTGTATTGTCTTAAACAAAACACACAGAGCACAAGTTCAGTGACGATACTCTGGTCTCTGCCTGTGGACACAGGAATAACACATGATTACATTATGATGATCTACGCTTTGTTGTACATGTTTAAATACACTTAAAGCACTTATTACTCTCTAATACAATAATGGACCAGAACGGAGTCACATGAACATCAGAACTGTACAGCAGAAACAATACTCACCATGTGCTGCTTTTCTTCCTCTAAATGCAGTAAGAGGTAGGGCGTATAAAGTCTACTGGCCACATCACCCTATAGAAACATGATAACTGTTTCAATAGGAAGTACATGTTGGAAAATTATTTTAAAAAATCATTTTAGTTGGTTTACTTTGTTCTTCTGTGGTCTGTGTTTTGTTGGTTCTCAAACATCTTCCTTTTTTATTTTAATAGTCAACCTCACTTTCAGAATGGTGCAAAAAATATATAATATAACATTCATGAACTTACCCAGTAGTGCTCTGGATATCACTCTTTGTTTGTAGATGACTCTGGAAGCAACACACTCAAATCTTAGTACAACTGTCATACTCTGAGATGGACAGTCAAAACCAATTTGTTTCATGGAAACAGTCCTTACATTAACAATTTTACATTAACTCTAATTTCAAATAAAACACCACAAACATATTTAACAATGACAACATTTTAGTCCTGAGAAGCACATAAAATCTTTGAAAAGTCTTACCTCCAGATCAGCTCTGATAATCCTCCTGATCCACACTGCATGTCCTCTGTTCCTGTAACTGTCCTGTGTCCTGCTACATTTGAATTTTCCCTCCAAATGTTTTGGGGAGGAGAATTCCAGAGGCAGGAGCCTCACCAGAAATTGTAACAAAGTCATGTTTCCTCAACCTAATTAAAACATGCAGGTCTCACATTGTCCACAATCCAGTGACCTTTGTAAGATTTAAACATGCTGGACAGAGAAACATAAAAAAAAAAAAAAAAAAGTCATGTTATTGTTGTCAAATTTGTTTTTGCAATTTGAGCAACCTCTCTAGGACCATTTTTTCAGTGCACAGAACCTAAAACATAATTTTATTTGGACTGTGTAGTGTACTCAGATGTGTCAATATAATTATAATTATAATAATAATAAAATAAATTATAATAAGGAGAGGGAACTGTTCCCTTATATTAAATTCAAAAGCATTCAGACTGTGTATATATATGGACATAATACAAATGTCGATGGCTCCAAAAATAGCCCAAAGATGTTCTCTCTTGACTTTTGCATCCTCTTTTACTTGTGCTTGAAAAGGGTTTGTTGTTTTTAAGTCAAGAGCATTACATGTAGATATTCTACTCTGCTACTGCTTGTTCGCTTGTTCATGTAGACCAGATTTTCTAATTTCTAAACTAGCACTCACCCGGGTTGGGAGAGTTAATATGAATAAAATTGTGGAAAAAAAGTGTAAGATTTTGCATTCTAGCCTCAATCATAATCTGAGATACTTCTGTTACTACTTTTTTTTTTTTTTTTTTTTTTTGTCATTAAGGTAATTTGCAAACATGGATTTCTGCATTTTGGCAAAAAAAAAATTACAATTTATTCTTGTCTTTACGGTTGGCAGGGGTCAGCTTATTCAAGTGTTGTGATAGTCCTGTTTTAGTCCTGGTTTAGAACTGGTTTAGATCAAATTGGTCAAAAATAGGGACACCTGGGACATTTCTTGTATATAACTGGGACAAATCGCTAGTTTTGTATAAATCTGATGGGACAGGGGACACAGGACTCAAAACTGGGACTGTTCCGGGTAAATAGGGATGTCTGAACACCCTATATCATGTTAAAGACCTGATTTGCCTTTTCTACAAATAAAAAAGTAAAAAAGTAAATTGTTTTCAAGCCCAAATATGGATATACTGAAGCCACAGAACCTAAAAACATAATTATATTTGGACTGTGTAGTGTACTCAGATGTGTCAACATAACTATAATACAAAATATTTTAATAAGGAGAGGAAATTGTTCTCTTTTATTAAAATCAAAAGCATTCAGACTGTGTATATATATATGGACATAATGCAAATGCCGATGACTCCAAAAATAGCCCAAAGATGTTCTCTCTTGACTTTTGCATCCTCTTTTTACTTGTGCTTGAAAAGGGTTTGTTGTTTTTAATTCAAGAGGATTACATGTAGATATTCCACTCTGCTACTGCTTGTTCGCTTGTTCATGTAGACCAGATTTTCTAATTTCTAAACTAGGACTCACCCGGGTTGGGAGAGTTGATATGAATAAAATTGTGGGAAAAAAGTGTAAGATTTTGCATTCTCGTGTCAATCATAATCTGATGGACTTCTGTCACTGCATTTTTATTTTTATTTATTCATTTTTTTCATTATGGTCATTCGCAAACATGGATTGCTGTATTTTGGCTAAACAAATGAGAATGTATGCTCCTCTTTACTGCTGGCAGGGATCAGATTAGTTGTGATAGTCCTGTTTTAGTCCTGGTTTAGTCTTAGTTTGGTCCTGGTTTAGTCTTATTTTAGTCCTGTTTTAGACCTGGTTTAGATGAAATTGTTCAAAAATAGGGACACCTGGGACATTTCTTGTATAAAACTGGGACAAATCACTGGTTTTGTATAAATCTGCTGGGACGGGGGACACAGAGCTCAAAAGTGAGACTGTTCTGGGTAAATAGGGACATCTGGTCACCCTATCATGTACTAACTTCATTACACGAAGTAGAGTGCAGAGAAGAGTGTAGAATTAATATTATATAGTATTTTGTTCAATACCTGATTTGTTGGTAATTTGCATTTTCTACAATTAAAAAAGAAAAAAGTCAAAGTGCGCAGGCTTAGAGTGGTAAATCTCTAATTCTCTCTGCTCTTTACGATCTTTGGCATTTAGCCCCGCCTTTTATGCAAATGAGCTCTGATATCCGGAAATTAACAATCTCGTGATGTCAGGGAGTGTTAGCATAGCATAGGAATGTCAGGAGAGATTTTCAGTATTCCGACTCATAAAATAACCAAAGAACAACGTAAAAGTCAGAGTTATCTTTCGTGTTCGTCGGTCATAATGGACTTACCTTTGTTGGGACGTGTTATTTGACCCATCTCTTCTCGGACAGGAGCGGGATGAGGGATCCATAACGGGGATGCTGCAGCCGCTGTGCTAACCCGCAGTCCCAGCTCAGATTTCCCGGCCACACACGCAGAAGCATAGGGGCAAATAACTTCAACTACTCCGTGTAACACAGAGGCGATGGCACTGTTTGTGTTGGAGCAGAAATCAGATTTCCTGGACTACACCGGTGGAGGTAATCTGACTGAAGTTTTAACACAGAGGAGCAGCGACCTGTCAGATGTACGAGTCAGTCCAGAGGGTCGCCACATTCACGTTGTCCTGCGCAAACCTACCGCGGGGCTTGTGACTTTTGACAAATATGAAAGACCCCAGCTTGCCTTATCCCAGAAGAACCAGGATTTATGCTTAACCCGGACTGTACCCATTGTGGACGTATTGTACTTGACGCAAAACAACACAGGCACCGCAGTTGTCGCAGTGATTTATGAGAATGGAAAAGCGGAGTTTTGGAGATTTCAGGAGGCAAAACAGGGGTGGCATTTACTGCAAACGTCAGATTTGTGTAACAGCCCGCGGGCTAAAGTGGTGTCGGTGTGTTCATGCGCTAACTCGATTATTTGGTGCGAGGAGAGGCCCCCATCTGAGAGCTCTCCTGTCCTGAGCTCCTCCAGGAATAAACTAAGGTACTGTGTTTGTAGGCGGGACTTTGAGGTGGAGGAGGGCGGGGTACTTTTGAGAGGAGTCAAGATTGCACTGCATAATAATCCTAAATTCACTGTTATTAGTTCAGGGGAATATGTTTATCTTCTGCCTAACTTAAAAACCAAGCCACTGGTCATCATCAACAAAGTCATCCTCTGCTGGTCTCCTCGCCGGGACACTTTCAGGTTAAGCACCACTTGTAAAACGACCCCAATCAAAGAAGACACTTTATCAACCAAAGAATCTGACTTTAAAAGATTGCTTACAGACTGTTTAGGTTTCCTATCAATACTGGATTCTCCTGAGATCCGTTGCTACTCATCTTCAGGTTGTGGAGGATTGATACTTCTGCTAAGCTCAGGGTGGGCATGTTTTCTGCAAAAAGATGGTATACTCCGTCAAGTTTATAAACTGGACAATAACTTGCAAGCATTTGATTCCCACATCAGCCTCTGTATGTACCAGGATGTTCTAGCTTTACTAACAGATCAATCACTTCATCTTATAGACATAAATTGTGGTACTGAACGTGTGAAAATAAAAGTAAAAAATGCAGGGTTGCTATTTAGAAATCAGAATGAGAAATGTACGCCACAGTTTGTCTCAGAGGATGGAATCTTTTTAGTGACAGAAACAAAGGAGGTAAATTCAAAGTTAAAGTCTTGCGGATCAAATAAAGTGGAGAACATTCAACCTGGAGCGCTCCTAATTGAGGCCGTATTTGAAGAGGCATGTAAATATTATCAGCAGAGGAGTCTAAGCAGCACTAGGCTCACAGTGGACGCACTGAAAAAAGGAGGCAGGTTCCAGGCTCCTATCTCCTTAGCCACTATCCTCAGAACCTACCTCAGCACAGGATGGAGACACATGGGGGGGCAAAATGGCATCCAAAATGGGGATGACGCTGTAGCGGGACAGGATAAATTGATGAGTTCTCTCGAGACGGAGTTGAAAGCTCTGGTTGCTCTGGAAGAGGTCAAAGGTTGCCTGGTGAAGGGAAATGTCAAAGAGGTGGAGGCGCTGTGTGAGAATCTGGTGGAGAAAGAGGTGTCCAGACTTCTGTCGTCTACTGAGATCGATAAAGATTCTCTGCTTTACCTCAATACTATTTTTAAACTCTTCCCTTGTGAGGCTTGGAGGGCAGTTCAGGTCACGCTTCAGTTTCACTACAATGGCGAGGGTTTGTCCAGCAGCTCGCCTCATGAAATCTGGAAAACTGTGTTAAGTCCAGCTCCTAGCTCCCCAGTTAGTCAGCACTGCACCAATGGGGAGTACAAGAATAACCTGAATACTAACCATATCACAAATTTGAAATTGAAAGCACTAGATGTGCCTGCTGTCATGCCCGTGTTCGAACTGCTGTGCCACTCAGTGTATCGATTTGAACCTGGCTGGCTGCCTTCATTCCTAGAGTTGTCCCAGCAGCAGCAGGGGTCAGCCGGCCTGGCTCTGAGCCTGGCATCTTCATCATGGGGGTTTCCTAGCGGGAGGGGAGCCGAAAGCAGTGATAAAAATGTGCCATTGTACAAACGGGCCTTGTCTGTGGTCGCAAGTCTAAGCTCAGATCACGAGCAGAACCAGGACTTGGAAGTAGAGTTGTTACTGGTGAGTGGGCGCCCTAATGCCATTCTTCAAGCACTGAGGATTCTAATGGGCAGACAGCAGTGGGACAGGGTTACCCAAGTAGCCAAGAAATTCTGCAAACAAAGTCCACTTCTAAACAAGGAAATCTTCACTACATTACTCTGTGAAGTGGCACAACACAGAGAACTGGATCCTTATCTGGAGCTACTGTGGTCACTTTGCCCTGAAGACATCACTGTTACTAACATACTCAACATGGTTCTAAAAAATCTGCCCTCTCCAAAAGCAAATTCATCCTCTTCTTTCCCCCTGTCCACTATAGCCGCCTCTTCCCCGGCCCCATTTGCAGACTCCCAGAGCAGTCAGCTGACCATCGGGCTGCTCAAACCTCTGCTCCGAAAAGTTCTCGAGAGAGAAACAAAACGTAATCAAGGCTATGTGGACATCCTCCAGTCACCATCGTACCCCCCTCCTACACCCCCCCGGCTGCCCGTGGAGCGCCCTAGGATGGGTACAGACGAAAGCACAGAGTCAGAGCAGAGCATCACCTCTGCTGGGCTCTCAGAAGCACAGGAGCAGCCAGCCTCTCTCTCCAGCGTGCACAAAGCTCAGATCATCAATTTAACTGCCAATCTGACTTAATTAGTCACACCAGTATCTGTCAAACCGTCTTCTATAGGCAGAAGCACAATATGAGAGACTTTATAATGCTGTGTAATTGTTTTATTTAATTTGAAAATGGTCCATTGAAGAATGACTACTAATGCAGTATGACTACTGATCTTAGCAGTGTAAATAATACCTAAGTATATTTTAAACTTGTATTTGCCATGTTATTTAAGCCTTAATGCCTGCATGAGCTGTATATAACAAACTAGTGAATTAATGAGTATTACAAATACATAATGTATAGTGTTAGTGTTATAGTGCCTCAGTGACTACCAAAACAAGCCAACATCCCAATAATGGGAATTTAATTTAAAACTGTTAAATGTACAGTGTTTAAGTTAGTCAGTGCCTAATTGCTGTTGCCTATCACCTATTCTTGCCATTGGTTAGTGTCTAGCTAGATACAGTACACATACTAACAAGCTATGTATGCAATACTATGTAGAAAATACATATTCTGCAGTGTTGTGACACAGCTGGTTCTTGGTTCTTATTTTGAAGTTGACATATCACAAACGCTCAAGCAGTAACTAAGCAGCTAATGCATCTTAACCTAATCTATCTTGAATAGCTTTGCTTGTGTGCTTCCTTTGCCCTGACTGTCTCCAGACCCTGTCCCTTCACAGTGTAGTGGGACATTCCAGACCAATGCCCAGGAAAAGTGACTCACAGTTTCACTTCAAATTAAATTTCAGAGCTAATTGTGTTAAGGCTGTAGAGGGCGAAGTGCGTAATACCAGAACAGGCCTCCTACATCAGGTCCTGAATTATGATATAACTCTTTGACAATATGCTTAAATAGTTTTAACATAACAGTAGCATTCAACCCATCAGTATTGTCTGTACCACTGTAGCGTTTTATGTTCTTAAGTTCTTCTTAGAATTATTATATTATTATATCATTTGTTTTTCTCTGTTATTTTAATTGCTGCTTTGCTGAAGCTGTTGAATCAATTGAAATATTTTTTGAAGTATTACTTTATAAAGACTTTTGGATGTAAGTGGTGGTTTAAAATAAACTATGGATTTGCTGAAAGTGTTTTAGGACAATCTGAATATACCATTGCCTACCAGTGCCTTTCTTCATTAACAGCGTAGTGCTGCATTACTTCCTAACAGCAGTATCCAACATTTAGAAAAAAAAAAAAAAAATCAACACTTTTTACTTTTACTTTTTCTTCATTTGTTTTTGTTATGTTAGTGTAAGTTGTACTGGATGACACTGCATATTTTAGAGTTTGGTCAAACAAGTCATGGTTCCCCAATAGAGGACTGTAAAAAATGTTGCAGACTTGATTGCTTTTCATTTCAAGGGTTCCCCATGTGCATCATCAAATTGTGTATCTGTTGTAATGGTGAATGCTGTAATTAAACAACAATACTGCGCTCTGATGTCTCTGCTTGTTTTTCAGCATCTTGTCTTCTGCCAAGTACTTCTGTACTTCTGGTTTGTTCAGACTGTCAGCATAATCCATATGTAACCACAGTCCCTCTACAAAAAGGCTAATTACATTATTAAACATTTATGGGGGAAAATCAAATGCACTAAGTTAGCACTGACTGTAGCATAGCAAAGACACAGGGCTGTTCAGGACAGCAAGTGTGCCAGTCTTGCATTACCATGTGAAATCTGCATGTTGGCTGCTACAAAACTGAAGAGAGAACTCAAGAGAGAATTCTACAACCAGTAACCTTGTTTTTAATCTTAATGACAAAATTTCTCCAAATTACATTGTCTGAGTCTTATAATTTTTACATTTCTAGATAAGAATTAAAAGGTGTAGCAGTGTGATGGTCTGGATTCAAGAGAGGCTATTTCAGATTCCAATCCAGTCACAGTTTAAGGCAGTAAATGCGCAAAGGGATGGTTCATTAGCTTATCACTGACACTAACACCACACTTAAATACAAATTAAAACAACAGCAATTTTTATAAAGAAAACAGGACAAGTAAAGCGCTAAAAGAATAAAACATGACACATCATTTAATGCAATACAAAAATCATATTTTAACTATAATTACAAACCAGTACAAAAATAATGTTGGTCACACAAAACATCAGACAAAACTTTAATCATTACAAAAATATTCCTTAAATTATTGCATAGTGTGCTCATTTGTAATAGTGCAAACAATTTAACATGTATTACCAAAAAACACAATATGTACAGTACTTACAGTCAAATACATTGAACAATGTAAGTGGTATGACAGACTGGTACCAATTACCTCCCAGGTTTGGCCAGTTTGAATTTTTTTCCAGATACAATCAGGACTTCACAGTCTGTGTACAGTACCAAATACAGCTAAAGGCTGCATCAGGAATTGAAATTAAGAACCAAAAATTGAAATTAAGAACACTAAAATTAAGAACCAAATATATACATATGCATTGTAAAAAATGTTGTGGATGACAATTATAAAATAAAATAAAAGTTACACTGTTTATTACAAATCCAAATGAAAAAAATAAAATAAAATCTTAGCAGTATGTTGTCATGTTGATACCCTGCGAGCTCTGTGTGACAAATTTGGAGCTGCCACTTCAACTGTATTTCATGTGGGCCCTGGGGATGTAGTTCATGTTTATGTGCTCACTGTTAAGACAGAACATATGCAGTTAACAGCATGTAAAACAAAAATACATATTTGAATGAACATAGGAACAAAGCAGTTATCTGTAATACATGCTACTCACTCAAACACATCAGTGTACTTCATTTTTCTGTAGTATTTGGCCAGTTTAATGGTTAAGATGATACTTGGGATGAGGAAGATCATGCACCATCCCAGGCTGAACCAGAAGGCATTCTAAAAACACAAAAACATAACTCGGTGGTTTACACTTGTATGTAACTTTTCTGGTGCTGGATCTGCCATCTGCTTGTCTCTGTAGCGATGAAGAGTGGTTTTGTGTCTCAAAAATACCTTTAAAATGTGTATTCTTACAGTGAGCAGTGTCAGATTTGACCAGTAACATGTGGTTACCCACCTGTCTCCAAGTTTAATGCCAGACTGTGGAACATTCCAGGTAACACAATAACATTTCAATGGAGACAAGCAGGTGGTGGTGGTGACCTGAAAAGTTACGTAGTGCAGCTATAAGTTTTGCATAATATCTCACCAGAGACTCCACCATGTTGGAGCAGACAATTATCTCAGCAGAGTCCACAGCTCCTGCCACTGGCCCACAGCGACCCATCTCCTGAGTGATCTGAAAACATAAATCTAATTATGAATATCAATAATACATTAGACAAAGCACTATGTTATTGAAAACTGTAAATATTACCGTATTTTTGGCAAAGTCAGCAAAGGCCATGAAGTATTCCAACTGACAGTCCAAAAAGTGACCACTTTCCTGGAATCAACAGAGTCAAACAGCAGGAGTCAGTTCTAAGCATTTGTGAACTACATCCTGTTGAGAATTCATGATAGAGACTGGAACACGAGGCTAATTCCATGAATGGAATTATGAGTATAGCCTAATCCACTGATGTGACCTGAAAATAAGTGTGTTTCAAGTAGGATAAGGAGTAACAGGGAACAAACATGTGTTCAAATGGTGGTTTTCAAATGGAATATCTAGAATGTGATTATGTCATAGTCTCAAATGGGAGCATGAAACTATACATTCTACTTTCCTATAACAAATCCTAATGGTAAATTTACAAATGTTGAACCTAACTATTTCTAATATTAGTGACTCACCCATATAATTCACTATATTTCAACAAAAAATGCATTTTAATAATATTCATTTTAGCTGCAGCACACATTTATTAAATATTACTGGCCTATAGAATATTATGATGTAACCTAAAACTCAGCCAGAGATATAAGTGGTAAATTAGCAACAATGTTATTACTACCTAGAAAGAATGAAAGTAGTGATTTTCAGATTTTAGTAGTAGTGGTAGTAGTAACAGCTGTAGTTACAGCAATGTGCTGGTACTTCTAAAAGTAGTAATAATGTTAATATTTTTCCTTTTAATCCTAAACAGATTGGAAAATTGTTGAATGTATACAAACATGGGTCACTTTATGACTTGCAGTATGAATTTTAGTACACTTTGGTGTAGTATAAAACACTGTACACACTTGTACAAGTATAAGACTACAGAATCTGTATTTGATACTGTATTCCAACTCAACTATTCCATGTATCTATGTAATTTTATTACTGGTTAAAGTAATTTTATGATTTTAACTAGTAATTTGAACACATCTCAAGCTAGTGTACAACATTGCATACATACAATTGTACTAGTAAAAGAGTACAGAATTGAAGAAATAAAATAGCAATATTTGCACTCGTAATTCCTACTTTTTATTCCTACTCATGTTGGATAATTGTTCATTGTATGTATCTAAGCACATGTACAATTTTATAACTTGCAGTAGTAATTTGAACACAATTTGACCTAGTGTAAAACATTGTATATTGTTAAAAATCCCTTAATATATCCACAAAGCTGCGATGCTAGTCTCTGTGCTGACCCTTTAGGCTAAATGACTGTGGGCATTACAGAGCCACATGCACGGCCTCTCTCCCTCATGTCCAGCTCATGTGACCTGCTGCGCCTGTACTCACGGTCTTCACGATCTGAGTTGCATTTTTGTTGAAGAAGTCTTGTGCTACTCCCACGCTCCTTAGTACCTCCCCCACCGTGGCCTGCAACAGATACCAACATTTAACCACAGAGAGAGATAAAGAACTACTGTAAGGATTATTATAACAATTCAAGTTTAAAGTACTCACATTGATTCCTGCCACTGTAGTTTTCAGCTCATTGATATTTGAGAGTATGGTTGTCTAAAGGCAGAAATTAAGCTTTAAAATTCAGAAAATAATGAAGCAAATATATAAATACAAATTTTAACTGTTATAAATTAGTTTGGTTGAAAAACTCACCAGTTGGGGAAATATAACAGTCTCGATATCAGCCTGGATATTTCTTAGACTCTGGGCTTCATCTTTAAGTTCCTCTTTGGTTTGACCAGTAGTCTAAAATAGAAAAAAATAAATAAATAACAAATATTAGATTTAAGTATCATGACATTTTGTGGTTAATACACTTAGTTAATGAATTCATAGCTCAATAATATACAAATTATCAAGTTGCGCTCAACTGAAACTGAGTTTATTTTAACTCTAAATTGTGTAGGTTATAGATGTTCACTCACTGTTTCTTGCCAATTGGTCAAGTTTGTCTGCTGTGGTGTTCAAGTTAATTTTGGACATGTTATTTATCTGTAAAAAGCAAAAGATGTGAATACAAAGTACATTTACCACAACTATAATCAGTTATTCTGCATCATTCTGCATGTGCCCTGTACCTGCTGAACTGGAGTTTCAAAATCAATGTTGTCTGCCTTTGAGGAAAAACTCTTTAGTTGGTCTTTCACTTCTTGAGTGAGGAAATTGACAGTGGGCAGGTTTATGTTGGTGTTCTCAAAGTTCTTCTTAATTTCATCTGTGTACTACAGATAAAAAAATTGTCACATGTAAAATAAAGAATACCACAGAGATATTGTTACTCTCAAAATCTTACTTTGGATACATTGAGCAGGTCATCAAGGTTTATCTTTTGACTCAGCTGAAATACAGTCCACACAGGCTTATTTTCTTCACAGTCTCTGTAATTACAATAAGAAAAATAATATGGTTAAATACAAAAAGGTTACTTCAATCAATATATTCATTACAGCTCAATCCTGGGAACATTGACTTACCGGTAAATACTAGAAATTGTTATGTTGGCCCCTAAGGTTGCACTCAGGTCAAATCCAGGAATTGCACCTGCAGTGTCAAGGACCTGAGGAGAGAAATCATAAGAGATGTCCTGATTAATAATGTGAAATATATTTTGCACATCTATAAATAAATATACATGTTTTCAATTTTGAAATTATACATATGAAAACCAAAATTAACACACAAAAAAAAATAAATCAACAACACAAGACTACACACATACACACACACCAAAACTAAGCTAACAAACATTAATGGTTGGTCAAGTCCAGTCCTGTCAAGATATTGAAATAAATTTTTTAGATTGATACCTGGAACAATTCTCCATTATTCCATGGTTTACACAACAACGTATAGGCGTTCCCACCAATCAGGAAGAGGATCAGCACTAAAATCATGAAGAGCCAGGAAATGATAAAGCTAAAACCAGCGCCGCTGCAGCAAAAATGAGAGCAAACAATAAAAAATAAGATCATAAACATGTATTATATGATTTTATTATAACTGTAAAAGAATAACTCACATCATGAAGAAGGTCCCTCCACAGTCGGACACACAAGAGCGCTTTGTTGGCTCCACTTTGGACTTTAGACCCAGAGGACCCAGAGACAGACCCAAGAGGTTACACACCACCACCAGAAGAATCACACAGCACAGGGCAATACACACACACCACCTGAAGTAAGAGAATAGGGACTTAGCATTAAAACTGGATGACAGACTTGTTTGGCATCATATTATGAAAACTCAGAGCTAAACATTTTGTCAAGCAGGCTAATGTGTAGAAGTGGGAAAATAAGAAAGCCCAGGGTTATTTGTTAGTTTGACACAGTAGTGAAAGTTATCGTTTTTTGCAGATATAGAGGCAAAATTCCTGCAAAAGTTGAAATATCACATGGAAATTTTGCTAAAGTAGAAGTATTGAAATACCAATTAAAAATGAATATGGTAAGTGTATTCTTCTGATTTTAAAAATATTTATAAAGAATAGTGCTAATGTAGTGTGTCAAAAAATATTCAAATAGTAACAACGTTTGATAACTCGCAAACTGTAATGGTCACTTCTCCATTGAAAAGTCAATAAAAATTAGAATTAAGAAAAATATTCAATTGGAAAAATTGTTGAACACGACGATAACAGGTAATGTTTATGAGGTGTTTAGGGAACTACATTTTGTATTTCTGTTTTATGTCTGATGTGATATTGTAATGGCAGAGCTGCATCTGTTTTACCTGATATATTCTGCTTGCTTGATTTCAGGTGAGTACATGTCGATGTTTCCTTGAAGATGCTCCAGTTGAGTTAACACATCATTGAGACCGGGCAATGTGAGATCTGCGGACATGTTGGATATCTGGTATTTGATTTCCACCAGCTGTGCCTTGCTCTCTATAAGAACACAAATAATAAAAATATGACATATTTCATTTTAATTACATTTATGACTTTTAAAATATCTGTATTTGTGACTGACGTTTAACAACCTCCCTTGTCTCATTGGCAACACTCTCTGGGATGTTATTGAACTGCTCTTCAACCTGAAACACAAACAAACATACCCTGGATTAAAGGTGCACTATGTAACTTTTTGGTTGGTCTGCCACCTGCTTGTTTCTTTGGATATGTCGAAGCTGCGTGGAATGTTCCACAGTATGACATTAAAACATAACATTACATTACATTAATTAAATTACAAATAGTGTGATAGCTCAAAAATACCTAGAAAAACAGGTATTCTGACTGTGAGCGAGGTTGCCTCTCCACAGATTTGACCTGTAACTTGGTCTGGTTTGGTCTCCATGAAGATAGAAAAGTTAAATGAAATACTGTGAAACATTCCAGACAAAGCAGTAACATATCCAATGGCAAAAAGCATTTGATGGGCACTCCCCCAGAAAAGTGCACCTTTAAGTACACACTCAGTGTTCTGTGTTCTGTAAAGTCAATGTTTATTTTTCCAATTTCAACTTTTACCTCTCTGACTTTTGAACTGAGGTCAGCCTTTATAATTTCATTCATTGCTGTCTGCAGGTCATCGAGAGTGCGGGCCTGTGGAATAAAAAACAATCACACTTGTCACGCAATAATGTACCATAAGAGGGCGACAAAACGTTGCTATAGTGTCAGGGCCTCGCTCACATTAATGTCCATCCAGTTTTACTACCTGAATTTTAACTTTAATCTATTTCATTGTAATTGTTTTAACCCCCTAGGTATATTCTATCCACTATGGACTAATAAAGTTTTTCGGAAGTTAATAAATAGACTAACAAATGCACAAAATTGCAAATTACTAACTGGTAGCCTACTTAAGTTTACTTTTACTGCTAAGTGACCTTAGCTTTAACTTACATCAATGGAAGTGTCCACTGTGAGCTTGTTGAGTTCAGGCTTCACACTGTCACAGTTAGTACAGTCTGGTCGGGATAAGGTCTCATTTATTTGTTTTTTAAGAACAGTTATGTTTCCCTTGATCGTGCTTGTGTTGGACTCCAAATTGTTGAGAGATGTGTTGAGCCTGTTCAGAAGGGTGCTGGTATTTACAACCTCTGTTAATGCAAATAAAACACAAAGTTGTATATTCAAATGTTACATGAAGCCAAACAACTGATACTGATTAACAGAACTATCAAGACGAATCTACAATGTATACATTTACAAACATATAGCCAATTTTACAAATCTGTAGATAGGCACTCAGCATTTTTACTTGGGCCATATATTTTTAACTATTGTTTTTTGTTTTTTTTTCATGTCATTACTCTTCTGTGTAATGTCAATTCAAATTCTTCATAGGCATATGAGGTCACAAGAGACTTGTTTCAGCTGAAACCTAAATAGGGCGTGTAACTATGGAAATCAAGGCAGGCAAGAAGACAGATCACACCAATGGAATACGTCACAAGACTTAGACTTAAACAAACGACAAAGACTTATTTATCCTAGCAAACGAGCAACACCAGCCACAACCTTAATTGGCTAAGACAAAATACAAGTGAGGGAGTAAATTAAAGGTGCACTATGTAACTTTTATTTTGGAAGGTAATCTGCCTGCTCATCTGCATAGAGATGTTATTGCTTTGCCTGAAAAATGTATATATATATATAAACTCTATATAAAACTCTATAAAGCTATATAAAAAAATAGTTGCAATATTTTAAATGCACCTACATAGTGCACTTTTCAATAATCACTTGTAAATTCACAATAACAAACATCTAAGGAATGCTGTAATTTAGAGGTGGAGGAAAGCATCTGTGCTGACAGGCCTATGACATAACTGCTTTAATCTAGCCCTTCTCATGATTTTACATGTTGACTTTTGCAGGACTGAGCTTGTCTGTGCTTTACCTTGGTTCATCGTAACCAGAGACTGAAGAGCTGGAGTGAACGTTGATTTAAATTGTTTCTGAATTTCTCTTCCCAACTTGAGCCCGATAGCTGACACATGAACAGGTAAAATGTGGTTAATTTTCAAACCTAAGCAAATAGAACAATTTATAATTTATTTCCTTCTTACCATCTAAGTTATTTGTGACTTCTTGTATAGTGACGTAGCTCTCATTAACAACAAACTGGACTTGCTGGAGACAATAAATAAGAAATGGAAATAGACGACATGAACATGACCTTGAATGATTTATATAAATTGAGTATTTAGAACACAGCTATTTTCCCATTAACAAGTTTCACATCTTGAGATAAGTTTGTTTACACTGCGAATATTGTGTTGACTCAGCAGGATGACTCAAATTACAGGGCTGCTTACGCCAAATACCAAAGCAGAGAGGTGTTTTGTAGCTGGTAATCCTAAATACACTGATTACAAAGTTGCCTCTGTGTTAAGTCAAGTGTTCCTGACCTTCATGAAAATAACTAGAATTCTGACAAACATCTTTGAAACCTGTCCACTTACAAGATGTGCCAAAAACACACACACAATTCGTCTAGGTATATTTCTAGAAAATATTCTTTAGTAGTGGAAGTTTACACAAGTCCTCTGTAATAATTAACATAAGAAAATTTAATTTTATATCTCCATGATGATGTTATTGCTTTTCCCTGCAATGTTCTACAGAATCGCATAATCCTGTTAATCTTGAACTGATTAAATACTGTTTTTATAGCTCGAAAATACCTTGTCAATTGCTGCTTGTTTAATGCCATACTGTTGAACATTACAGGCAAAACCATAACCTCACCATGGAAACAAACAAAAAGTTACATAGTTCATCTTTAACGAAAACTAATCTAATCTGACACAGTGCTTTCAACTGTCTCCAACTCACCTGAGGCACTGCTGTGAGAAAGGTGTTGATGTTGCTGACAGCTGTATTTAGCTCCACCTTGCTGTTGTCCACATTCACTTTGAGCGCTTCGTTGCTTCTAAACATACAAATATTCCCGGCGCTGCAAACACAAATTAAAACATTGCACAAAGTGGGAGCCACAAATTTAAGCTGTAATCATGACGCCAACTCCCAAACACTCACAGTATGATGACAGTGGTGACGAATGTGGCCCAGTAGAGCGTTCTTCTGCAACAGTGAATGGAGGAGGTCTGTTTCTGCTGCATCTTTCCTCCGCAGTTACCACAGCAGCGACAGCAGGCCAAGAACAATCCAACTATGGGCATAAGCACGATGTACAAGACCCCAATGGCCACGCACACAAGGAACCCGATTTCATACACCAGCACCTACAACACATAGGGAAATAAATGGGCCAAGACGATTTATTATGCGTTATTTAGGTTAATTTAGACATGACAGAAAGCAGCATGAAATGGGGATGAAGATTTGGGAGACATTTAATAGAATGTCCGTTAAGATTGACAAAGTAGTCCACTGAAACACTTTTGTTATACTGTTATATGGCCTGTTTCATACACAATAAAGTGTAGTGATTAACCTATAAGCCATAACTTTATGACCACCTGTAACATAATGACCCCCTCATTTTCATTTCATTCCCACACACTTTTTTTGTTGACCTTGAAAAGGAATGAGAAGAAGAAAACTTAAATTTAAATCCCACCAACTGTCTGTTATTGTTACTTGCTCTGGGCCTCATTAATAAAGTAGCTTAAATATAAAATATTGTAAGTCAACAAATCAGGAACACCAAACTCCATCACTATTTTGTATTGTTTGTAATATTAATCTTGCTAAGAGTATAAAATATCTCCTTAAATAATAGGCACCATGATGAAGACATATTCTGACTTTTTCATATCATGTTTGGTCATAATAATAATTGTCATCTAGTTTCACTTCACTGTCAAACATCACAGGCTAAGTAAATGAGACCTGTAAAAGACACCTGTGCCTGTAGTGAAAGGAACACCTTTTTCTATAAATGAGCAAATTGAATTACTTACTTCCTTAACAAACTCCTGATTAGTCACTGTATTGCTGGGATCTTGCACAATTTCAAGAACTAGATCTGAAATGAAAATTGATACAACATGAGTGAAAGCCGTAAATCTGAGCTTTATATCACACACAAAGCCTAACCATGATCCCAACAAGCATTTCCATTTTTCCCATTGTAAAAGCTGAAATCCAAAACCACACATGTAACTAGAAGACAGAGCAGGTTTTAGGAAGTATAGCATATTTTTGCACAAAAAAGGACACAATACAATGCCTGTTCTCAGCCTAGACCTGAAACTCTATGATTGGACGTTGTTGACAAAAGAGGTGGAGGCTATAAGGACAGAAACGGTGGTCAGGTGCTCTACGTAAGCCACTGCCATTAAGGTCCTAAAGACTCATGCAAATATTTGGTCAATTTATGTACCTGCGGTAATGACCAAGGCCCCTTATATCGTGTTACAAGGTCACATTATATTGTCCAATGATTTGCGTATTCAATTGTTCTTGTGTGCTCATAATGATAGTTTATTTGATTTTACTGGTTTTATTGTTTTAAGATGACTAAATCTGAGTGCTTATTTTATTATTCTGTTATTACTGTTGTTACTATGCATTTGTTTATAAAGGTTTTTTTTCCATTACCATTTTTCAATTCAAGTGGAGCATATTTTGATAGAAGCTTTTTTGTATTTGAAATGACTTTTCCCATACTTGTATTATATTGTATAGGTAGATTGTGAGTGATAGTAATTTGAGTGCCTTGGTCTTTTTATCTCTTATGCAATCATATTTAGTCTTGGTAAAATAGCCACCTTGCTCTGAGAATGAATGATTAAGGGCATTCAAGTCTTTATATTTGGACTCATATAAGGAGTAAGTGGTCAGTAAATTATTAAAAACACAAAGGATCCTCTATTAAAAAAAAGCTGGCTTAGGACATAAAATGTTAAATATTTACTAGGTTAAGACACTGAAGTATTCTCATTGAAGTACACATTAGGTGACCAATACAGCCATTACTCACTAGGTTGTATTTGCTCTTAACAAATGTCAAATACGTAACCTTTATCACCATATTAAAAGTCTTTTCCCGGAACATTATGCTATAGTATTTTAGTGTTTTACAGGCAGCTGCAGTCATACAGATAGGAAACAATACACTGGTAAAGGACAGTGACTAATACTGTACATTGATATAAAAGACAGTAAGTGCAGCAAGGTCACCCTGGTTTGAATATGAAGACTAACCATAGGCCATTAAGAACCATTCAAATTAATTTGATAAAAATGTAAACTGTGGTTTTTCAAGCCTCCAATTTTTACATATCATTGACAGGTTTTCATATATCATCTGATCTGGTAAAACGGTAGGTGCAATATGTAACTTTTTCAGGTGGAACAATTGCAATGGATATGCTTATCTGCTTTGTTTTAAATGTTGCACAGTATGGTGTTAAACCATATCTATCTCCATTGGGATAAGTAAACCATGCCAACAAGCCAAGTTGCAGGTCAGATTTGTGGAGACTAGACCTGAGTCATAGTAACAATGCTTGTACTTCAAGGCAATAAAAACAGGTTTACTAGAATAATCTTAAAACATATATGTTTAATGGTATATTGTGGAACATTTAAAAAAATAACATCGTTATGGAGACAAGCAGGTAGTGGACCCTCTCCCAGAAAAGTTTCAAAAGAAAGCTTAAGTTGTTCTAAGTTGATTACAGTATGACTTCGAAACAAGGAAAAAGTTTAAATCATAAGATATAAAAAATAAAAAAAAATAAAAAGTAGTGATGCTAACCTTTAGGAAATGGTCTGGGCTGAACTGTGTTGAGAAAAGACTGGACAAATGAAGCCATGAAGTCTCCCACTGGGCTCACAGACTCCTCATACACTGGCTGCTCCAGACTGTGTGGGGCAGCTCCTCCAGGACAGGAGCTCTGAGAGGAGACCACCTGGGACAGACCTGAGCCCACCAACAACACCATCACCACCACTACCTCCACAGCTTTCCCCCTCCCCAGACACCTCCTCATGTTCTCAGATGTCCCCATGACGTTCGGCACAACACTTCAGTGTAAGTCAGCTCATTGTAAAAGCTTTCGTTGTTTCTACAAACAGAAAAAAATATAACAGAACACAATGACGCACAGTGCTATGACCATATTAAGCAGAAAATATGAGAGATTCATTGAAAGGACTGAGTCATGTTGAGAGGAGGGGGCAGACAGAATAACACATAGAATAACTGGGAACTATTTTACAGAACTACTGGGGCAAAGTTCTGTTTTTAACAGTTTTGCTTTGTTGTGGATAAGGCTATAAGGAGGAAAAGGTGTACATAGGGCATGCATAATTCAAATATACTAGAAAGTTAGCTTGTAAATCAGGGATAAATGTTTTTTGTAGGCCATGGTCACAGCATATTTCATATTGGTAAAACATGTATTTACGTATATTTACATGTTGCACTATTTTCGGATCTATAATATAATGTTGTTATGTGATAAAAAACATACCTGGGGGTGTTTTTTTTTGGGGGTGTTTTTTTTCCCCCACACACATATTTAACACACAAATCCTGCATATTTAGGCTGTGTTTCATCTCTCAAAGCTCAAAATGCTGTGTTCCACTTTGTGATGTCATGTGCTAATAGGTTTAGCTCCACAGTGTTTTTAAACTTCATACACCTTCACTAGAATCAGTTGGATGATTTCAACCCTGTAATTATAGTCTCTACTTAACAAAGGGTAAAAGGTAGCTGTTAACTTGACAACTACCAATACATGACAGCATATTGATTTTTGGAGTGGTAGACAGACTAATACTATAGGGTAATTCATGTGTGGATGAAAGTTTGGTGAGTGACGACTAACTAACATGTCACAACAACAGTCAATTTTGCGTAATATAGGATTTTCGAAGTCCTGTTTGGTTGAGAGGGTGGAGTTAAGCAACAGCCACCTATCTATTAAAACACATTTTAAAAGAGATAAGTAAGCATAATCTGGTAATCCCTAATATTTTAATGACACAAATAAAAATAATTATACAGTATGCGGTAGTAGTAAAAAACATCCCTTGAAGTTTTAAGAAGACTTGTTGGGCATAACTAGCATCTAAGCTCTGTTAGTAGTGTCAACACAGCACAACAGCAAAATCTGAGCCCTGACTATTTAAGATCAGTGTGATAAAACTGGACAACATAAATATAGTTATGTATATTAAATTAAGTTTGTACATGCTAACATATCCAAAAACATACAAACCCCACTTAGTTTACACAACAGATTCATATTTACTCCATGTTCACAGCAGCCTACTATTTATAGACTATGGTAAATTATACAGAAGAGAAAGAAATGAAGGGGACTCACCTTAAGTGACTGGGTGGCAGGATAAGTACACGCAAAGTGGAGCTTACACTTCTGTAGACACCTGCTATTTGTGCCTCTGCTGTGAAGTTGACTGAGACTCGACTGTGAAGAAGAGCGGCTCTGTGGGAGAAAGAGAGAGCGAGAATCGGAGGGAGGAGTAATGGGAGGGTCCTAAACATGCCGGGAGGGGAGTCCGAACTGGGAAGTGACACGAACAGTTCGTGAATATAATAACAACGTAAAAGCAGTGATGGGAAAATACTTTAGAAAATGTCTTTAGTTACAGAATACTGAACACCTTCATTAAAAAATATTTTGTTACGTGTTCCGAGACATTGGTCTATCAGAGTAGCTGCTGTATTCTGAAGACCTATTTAGACTTAAAATTACACAAACGTTTATGGATCCACAAGGGAAATTACTTGGACACAGTAGCTCATACATCAATCTATTAAAATAACAAAGAATAAAAACTATATAAATGGCAGTAAATAATTATAAATAAGTAGCAAAACACTTATATACAGAATAGCTTACTTTCATGCAGAGTTGAGTATAAGTTATAGTGTACAGACGCAACATAGGCTTTATGTTAGGTTGACCGTTTGTTAAGCATTTTCTATCACTTATTGAACAAGAAAAAGCTACACATGCATTTCATTGACTTTCAGAAAAGTAACTGTATTCTGAATACCACCAAACCAAATGAAAAGTAGGCCTAATTGTATTGGAATACAGGTACTCAAAATTCGTATTCTGAATACATGTCGATTATACAGTTATTTCCCAATACTATACCTAAGTATAATAGGATATTATACTTTCTGGAATAGATACAAGAAAGGGACGTGTTTTCCTACTTTTTTCTACTGTTTCTTTTCTACAAAATGATTATGTTATTATAGAAAGGACCTGCTGGTACAGCACTATAATAACACTGGTTTAAGACTTACTTCATTAGTTTACTAAAAATGATAGGCCTACTAAATATTGTAGCTTACTTCTATTATTCTTATGATCTATTGATTCTATAGTTTGATTTTATGCAAGTCAGATGCCTACATATCCTCTACCCATGATGTGGCACAGGTATAGTAACCTATCCTACCACCAAAGAAAGAGATTTAGCTTTCTGAGTACCACCAGATCTAAATAACAGGTCTAAAAGAGGGGTATATAATTCCCACTGTAGTTGTAAAATAAGAAATGATCTAAAATTGGACAAAAAATTATCAAATTACCACTGACAAACCCATAAACTGAAAAGCTATCCATGGACCTCAGGACCATCTGGGCTTCACAGCAAAACTACTGTTCTCAGATTTTGTGTTTTCTAACTATTTTTGCAGGACCCTATTGCTAGGACTGTATGTCCTTTGTAGTAATGTATTAAAACAATACAGTGATAATAAAAATACACACAAAATGTCACATAACATGTCCTGACAAACGATGTCAACAAAGTATATATGATTTTGTTTTAACATGCAGGTGGCTGACCCACCTGCATGACCCCCAGATATGACCCCAGGGCCCAAACACTGCCCAAAAAACTTTTAGTGTTCCTGCAGGAACCAGCTCCTGAATGTGGGACAACACCGGAGCTACAAGGGAAACTGTCAACTGATGGTCAAAATTTCCTGAAGATAATGATTAGATTCTTAAAATTATTTTTAAAAAAGGAGGACGTTTTGTATAAATGGTGGAATTGTTTAGGTATTACTTTTGCATGCACAGTAAATGTCATATTTTCATTATGAGGAAGTGGAAAAATCAACAGTGTCGACATTATCACAGGTGTGCACACAAAGGAGACCTGTATTTCTGTCTCTTCATCCCAACTTCAGTTTTTACATCATTACGTCTATTATTTGAATTTATTTGCAAAGCACATATTACGCCTACACAAAAGAGGAACCAATAAATACGCAGTCATTTGCAGGATTTTTCTTTTATTTGATTATAGTGCATCTGATATGTTTTCAGATAGACCATAAACCTAAAACAGCAGCAAACGGCTGTCAATCTTAATTTTAAACAGGATGATCCAAGATAATTACACAGCCAGAGCGACTCTGAAGCCGCTTTAACAAAAACACATTTTTCATGAATGACGTCTAAACATCCCCAAAACTTCTCCATGAGTATTGTACAGATGGGTCAACAGAACTTCAAAAACATAGAAAAATAAATACAGTTTGCTAACATCAGGGGGAATCTGTTTCAGTGATTGTACAATTCGAAACATTGAATGGTAGAAATAATAATAAAATAATGAGGCTGTTTTTTGTTTTTTTTTACATTAGATTGAGTTTTCCATAGTTCTGGGGTGGAATACATAGAATGTTTATAGAAATTACTACCTAAAAATATACAAGCACAGACACTAAGATGAAGAAAAGCTGTCAAACTGACAGCCCAGTGTACTCAATATCTAAACTTTTTTTTTTTTTTTTTTTTTTTTTACAATTTTGCTCCTTGGTCTGCAGCTTTTTGTAGCTATGCTTAAAAACTTTTTTGGGAAACTTAAGTTAATACAAAAGTCTGTTTTATTTTTTTTATATTTTACAGTCCAAAATGTATCTTTAAAATATTTCATGTAGCAAATTTCAGTAAGGTATACATTTACTTTTGAGGGAGGACCCCCCACAAATAACAGTTGTGATAATAGTAATTTGGTAAGAAAATCAGTATGGAGATGCAGTACACTACAAAACACTAGCCCATCTTCTGTGACCCTGCTGACAGCGGGATGTCCCACACCAATGATGACATTTCAAGCATGGACATAACATGGAGACTTGTAATCATCACAATAAGAATGAGTCAAACGGCAATACTTATACAATAATATACTGCAGATGTTACAGATCTTTTACATTAGCTAATAGAAAAACAAAAAATACACTGTCCGTTCGCTCATAAGAAAAATAGATATGGAAAACAGTGCAAAGAGTATTTTGGGGTGTTTTGTTTTGCTTGCATGTCTGTTTATTTTTAGAAATTGTTTACAAAAATAATAATAAAAAAACAAAAATTAAAACTAGTCAATACATATGAAAACAGTACACACTTCTGTAGCGCCTGGTGCTGTGGTCCAGGCTCCTGCGTAACTTCTCTCCCGTACCATGTTATATGCTGTACATGTGGCTCACTGTGTACCATGTGTGTGTGGTGGTACGTGGGCGGGTTTAAGATTTAGCGAAGTGGTTCTCAACTCCGGTCCTCAAGCTCCGGCACTGTACAGGTTTTTGTTCCAACCAGGTCCTACAAAAACAAATAATGGAGTTTTAAAAAGCTGAATGTTGAATCTTTAAATAGCAGCCTGTAAAAAATATGTTAAATAATAACTATGCAAGAGAGAAGAGCACAACAGAAACAATGAGGTGTTAATGAGGAAAAAGCAAAGTGAGAGACCCGAGGTTGGAACAAGAACCCACTGAATCATAACATTAGGTACGAGTGACACCCAATGCCCAAGGGCCAGGGCTGAGCCCCACTTTGTGCTTTGTACTCATGGAGCAAAAGATAAACTGTCCTTCATCAGGCAGTTTAGAGCTTTTTGCACTCTTAAATTATCAAATAAAAAGTTAAAGACAGGCTGAAGGTCAGCATTCCTGACTCCACTAGTTTGTATGCTCAACAAGTCCCTTAAATTTACTGGTCACGGCCTCTCTACTGCGATGACTGAGAATTGTCATTCTTGCTCTCCTGACTGGAGGGGCCCTTGTGGTTCCAGGGTGAACTGGTGAAACTGTCCTCATCGTCAAGACCATTGGCCCCATCGACCTGTGAGTTCTCCAGCCGTGTGATCAGACGCTCGTCCTCGTCACCAAAGTCCCCTCCCATCAGGGTGGGCTCTCCTACCATCATCACGTCCTAAAGGGGACAGCAAGGGCCAGGACACATTATCCCCAATGTACAGGGGCGCGCAATCACTGGCTGCATGAAGTCAAAATTAATTCAAATCATGTGATGACTTCATTTGGATAAACTAAAAAACTTGATTTTTCCCCTTTACCAAATAACTGTTCATGTATATTGTTATAATTTCATGTGTGTGCCCTTGCTACATGAACTGGGGTCGATGGGCTTCTTGTATTGGCTCGCAGAAGACATCCCCAACACTCGTCTTGCACCAGGGGTTCTCATTCCACCTCAGGTCTCTCCACAACAACCAAATAAAAAACAGAAGTGCTGTGTTCAGATACATTACACAATGACAGGAAATATGGAAATTTACTGGAAAACTATCCACCTTGAAATTAAATCAGTGCAAAGAAAACCTATCTAGAGACTTAACAGTTTCTTAGAAATCATTTGTACATCCTAGTTAATTAAGCCTGTGGCCCTAGAGAAGGGACTGCCCACACTCACTTTCTAATTTAATGATATCCACATTTTGTTATCACATTCATTTGAACATCTGCCATAATAAATTCAGTCTCAAGCCCCATTGACGCCCTGTTCATCCTACACCCAAAGACCACCAACAAATCAACTGTATCACTACATACAAAACACTCCCGGCAGCCCTCCACCCAGTCCACTAGACATAAGGCTTGACGTCAGAGTTTAAAGGCACAGGCAGTGTCAGAAGGTGGTGGTTTGGGGTACCTGGTTGGAGAGAGAAAAGCTGTTTGCGGGACTCTTCTTTTTGCTGTTGCTGTTGTTATTGCTGCCTCCACCTGAACTCACATTACTTCCACCAGAAACCTTCCTTTTCCGTCTCTTGTTTGGCGCTTGTCTGGCGGGCTCAGCTGCAAAATCAATATATATTTTAGATAAACAAATCTATGAATGTTTGAATGAATCATAGTAGAAGTGTAATTTACAAGATACAAAATGAAGTGTACCTGCTGTGTTACCAGGAGGCGCTACCATTCTCTGCCACTTTTGGAAAAGACAGGTCTTCAGGCAGTCTCTGGGGCTTAAACTGTAGGTCTTATGTCTGGACATCAACTCTTGCATGGGCTCTAATATCACACAAAGCTACAGACAATACAACACCTTTAGTCAAATGTAATATAAAAGAATATAACTCTTAATGAATTCAAAATAACTGTTTACACGGAGGTAGTTGAGCGTTGAATTGGACAGCCCACATCTGGTGATATTTTTAGCTAGTTGATCAAGCATCTGG